TGTGAAGTGAACAATTAGAATAAGTGTTAAATTCAAGTGTGTACATAGTGTTAAAATTAAAGTTGCAATAATTCTAATGTACAATAGTTTTCAAGAACTGTATTGTAGTACTCAACATACAGCAAAACCACTTTTAATAATACAGTGCTAACGGCTTAATGCACTGCAGTACCTATTTACTGTAGAGCATTCACAACTTCACAAAACTTCAAGATGGACATAACTCCAACAATAAGGTAAATACATGAATTACAGTATTTTTAGTAGAGTAGTAAAATATAGGTACAGTAAGTAATATGATACAATGCATTTTTATTGTGTACAAGAAAAAAAAAAGACACTGACGCAAACGCCTCTTGAAGGTCACCTCTTGCAACGAATCCAACGCTCCAACGAACTGGGGGTGGTCCCATATAGTACGTTGAATCGAGGTTGTACTGTATAGACCTCCAAGTTCACCAGGACATCTGTCGTGCTGCGGCACTTGCGGAAACCAAATTGAGAAGGGGAGAGGAGATGATGGTGTTCCAGGAACCACATCAGACAAACGTTAACCATACGTTCAAAGAGTTTGCAGACACAACTTGTGAGAGCAATAGGGCGAAAGTCCTTAGGGGAAGTACCCAGAGACCCCGGTTTGCGAACAGGGAGGACAACGGCATCGAGCCAGTCCTCGGGGACTGACGACGACTCCCAGATCCGATTATACAGACTCAGTAAATACTGAGACGTGCCCGGAGGGAGATGGCGAAGCATCTCATAATGAATACCATCGGAGCCTGCCGCCGTAGAACCGCAGAGGGCAAGGGCAGAACGAAGTTCAGAGAGAGAAAAGGGATCATTATAGGGAAGCTGAAGATGAGTGCAGAAATCTAAAGGACGAGACTCAAGGACAGGTTTACGAAGAAGGAAAGATTGGGGAAGATGAAGACCAGAGCTAACAGAAGAAAAGTGGGAACCCAGTTCGGAAGCGACCTGCAACGGGTCCGCCACAAGAGTATCATGGAGGTGAAGGACCGGTGAAACATCGGAAACGAACTTACCCGCTATCTTGCGGATACGCTTCCAGATCTGGGCCAGAGGGGTTTCGGACGTAATTGTTGAGACATAAGATGCCCAACATTCACGTTTAGCCGTACGGATGGCCCTACGGGCCACCGCACTCGCTTTCCGAAAGAAAAGAAAAGAATCGGTCATCTGCCTACGGCGGTGCCTCTTCCAGGCTGCACGCTTACAGCGGACAGCCCGAGCACAGTCCGCATTCCACCAGGGAACGCACTTCCGTGGACCCCGAGAGGAAGAGCGTGGAATAGAGCGGAGGGCAGCGTTGAAGACAGTGTCATGAAAAAGGAGGACAGCGCGAGAGAGAGGCAGAAGGGAGAGCAGCACTGAGGGTAAATAGGGTCCAGTCTGCCTTAGCAAACTGCCACCTAGGGAAAGAGAGGGAAGGGCAAAAAGAGAAAAAGGAAACAAGGATGGGGAAATGATCACTACCATGGAGGTCATCAAGAACCTGCCACGTGAAATCTAAGTAAAGAGAAGAAGAGCAGAGAGAAAGATCAAGACAAGAAAGGGTGCGAGTCCGAGAGTCCAAATGAGTGGGCTCACCAGAATTCAGAAGAGACAGGGAAGAAGAGAGGAGAAACGGCTCAAGGAGGCGACCCCGGGTATTCGTCAGAACGTCACCCCAAAGAGAATGACGACAATTGAAGTCACCCAACAGGAGCACAGGCTCCGGCAAGGAGTCTAGGAGGTGTTTCAAATCAGGAAGAGAGAGCGGGACACTCGGGGGGAGATAAATGGAACAAACTGTGTACCATTTCCCCACAAAGATACGAGCAGCAGAACAATGGAGAGGCGAAGGAAAAAGTAAAGGAACAAAGGGAACATCAGCCCGAATCAAGAGAGCAGAAGAATTAGAAGCCCCAGCAATGGCTGGGGGGGGGAGAGAAAGGAATAGCCACGAAAACGACCAGGACGAGCACCAAGCATTGGCTCCTGGAGACAGACACAAAGGGGCGAAAACCGCGAAATCAGAAGTTGGAGTTCGAGGAAATTGGCGTAATAACCTCGAACGTTCCATTGAAGAATGGACAACGACGAGAAGAGAAAGGACAAAAACAGAGAACAAGGAAGAAACAAAGGCGAAAGAGCAACAGAGCACGTTAAAGAATATCAGGGTCGGGATCAGGGTCAGCAAAGTCAGGGTTAGGGGGCATGGGTAAACTGAGCAAAGATGGAGGGAAGGAAACGGGAGAACAGATCAGAGGTGGGCGGGCAGGGTCCGGAGGAGGAGGAGGAAGAGGAGGAGACAACGGAGAGGAGCAGTCAAGGACAGCAGCAGGAAGAGGGGGAGTAGAAAGAGGGGAGCGCACCCCAGCAAGAGCAGCAACCGAAAGGGAAGCAGGGGCCAAAGAAACCTCCATAGCAGGAACAGGGGGCGCAAGCACTGAAACGGGAGGGGAAGGAGCAACAGAGCCAGAAGGAGGAGCTGAGGAAGAAAGCGAAGCCTTCTTACCCGCCGGGGAAGAGGAAGGAGAGGAGCCAGGCTTACGCTTCTGACTTAAAGAGACCGGTGTCCCAGCAACTACGTACCGGGCAACGGATTCCAGTGTCTCAACAGGAGAAGCTGAACGAGAGCACACACGACGGCCGTTAGGAGAGCGATGGACATCCGCCCGCACCGACAGGCGGTGGGGAGAGCCGATAGATGGAGGAAGAGGATGGGAAGGAGGATCGGAGGGGGACGAGGAAGAAGACACAGAAGACACGACAGACCGGGTAGAAGGAAGGGGAACCCCAGACAGAGGACCAGGAGGAGGATCCTTCGGGAGAGAACCCAAAGGAACAGAGGAGGGGGCAGTGGGCGCATCAGGGTCCAAGGCCCGGAAACGGTTGTGAGTCTGAGGAAGGCGGGAAGGACGAGGAGAGGAAGAGCGCAACACGCGAGCATAAGAGATATTAGCATAAGGCGGGAGCCGGCGAACTGGCGCCTCGCCTCAGGAAAAGATAAACGCTCCCGGTGCTTCAAGTTGAGGACGGCTGCCTCAAGCTTGTAATGGACACACGCACGGGAGAAGGTAGGATGGGCCTCACCGCAGTTGAGGCAACGAGCCTGGGGAGAAGTGCACTCCGACTTAGAGTGACCTTCGCCACCACACAAAGGACAGAGAGAGACAGTCCCGGAGCAGCGGAGGGCACCATGCCCAAACCTCCAGCACTTGTTGCAGAGCCGAGGAGAAGGAATGTACTCCTGGACAGAGCACCTGGCACCAGCAAGAATGACAGAGGGTGGAAGGGTCCTACCATCAAAGGTAATCTTCACAACCGGAGGGGCTGACGGCGACTACCACGAGGGGGACGAGTAAACGTGTCCACCTGGAGAATAGAATGGCCCTGGGCAGCGAGGATATGTCGAATATCGTCGTGGCAGTCGCGCAGGTCCCGAACACCGGTCGCAACATGGGGCGGGAGCAAAATAGTGTCAACACTGGCATTCAACTGAGCGTTCTTCGAGACCCGAACGGGGGTCTCGCCAAGGCAGGATAAGGCAGCCAAGCGGGAAGCAGCATCCTGAGAAGGAGCAGCAACGACACGTGTACCGAGACGAGTGGGGTTGAAAGTAATGGAGGCATCCACAGAATCAACGAGATGTCGATGGAGGGAGAAATCGTCAGGAGGCGCAGAATCAAGAGGGAGGAGATCAAAATATTTGGCCCACGAAGCGGGACCAAACAAGGCCTGATAGGTAGCAGAACTGGAAGGAATCGAGCGAGGGCGGCCGTGACGAGGACGGCGGAGAGAACCCCCAGAGAGAGAGGAGTTAAAAGGCGCAGTAGTTACAACTAGAGAAGGAGCCGCGCCAGGGGACGAGGTAGTCACCAATGGGGGCTTGGGGCTCGACCCAACCACAGAGGAGGGAGGGAAGCCAGGGGAAGGAGTCAGAGAGGCCAAAAGAGGAGCAAGGTCGGGGCCCAATGCAGCGGAGGCTACAGAGCCCGGTCTTCCAATACGGACCGACTCGGGGGCTTGGTCGCCCACCCCACGAGCCTGAGAAGGTAAACCAGAAGAAGCCGAAACAGGGGTTATCATCTTGACGAAGAGAAGAATTCATTCACGAATGTGCCCCCACACCCACCATGGAGCCACAATTAGAGGCAGGACACCCAACAAGAAGCTATCGCCGATCTTGTCGGGGCCTCCTAGGGGTGCGTCGTGAGTATACGCCCCACAAACGCCACCTTAAGAAACCGACAGTCCGTCGAGATCGGGTTCAGTGACGAAAGGGGGATTGACAATAAAAGGTTCCCCTCGCTCTCGACATCGGGTACTACAGTTCTACGGATGCTTGAGTATGCCTCCTCAAGCACCCGGGCGTCAGAATAGAAGAAGTCCAAGGGAAGAACCAGAACGAGCAAAAGGTCGGCAGGAAACGGCAAGCAGATAGGAGAAGAGGGGGGAGAAAAACGAAACAGAAGGAAAAGGAAAAGATGCCCAGCAGAATTGGAGAGGACGGCAGCAGGAGCATAAGGCTAGAAAAGGACAGAGGACTGTCCCAAGGAGCATCACACTCCGGCAGCCGCCCACTAAGCCCCCACACGGCGACAACGAGCTGAGCGGGGAGGGGGTCAGGGATGCAAAATTTGTGTTACACATGCCTATAAATAAAGTGTGTCAAATTTAATGAACACAGATGCTGCAGTACTATATAGATTCCCCAATACTGATTTTCCATAAACCTGCACTGCTGTTATCACACTATTTCTCTGCCTCCCTTCCCTTGCATCACACACATGCACACATACTGTTACTGAAAATGCTGCCTTTTGGCTTTTAGGCAAAGGTTCACTGGAAACCTATCAAAAGTTAAGTTTACAGTGGTTGGTATATGAAAATAAAAAACGCTGTGTTACACACAAGATGGAGTATTACTTATGGCATTACTAACAAAAATAATTATTGAAATTTTGACTTAAAAGCATTACATAATATAAACTTACACTGTAGCTTCAGCAGAGCACTGGCAGTAATAGCATAATATTCTGATAGTTGAAAGCGGAGCATCAGCTGTAAAATTCTATACAAGAGTTCCTCATCTCCGTCCCAGGCTGCCCTCTGCACCATACCATCAAGCTTACGCCATAGCATGTTAACAAGGCCAGGATGTCTTTCTAATAACTCTTCGGAAATCTAGAATAAAGATATAAACTGAACTGAATTCAACAATTTAAATGTCTGGACTAAAAGTACTCAGAGATATAAAATGCAAATTTTATGACATTTAAGTTCAGCAATAATGTTTCATAGAAAAAAACAAATACTGTACTAAGTTTCTACAAGTTAATAAACAATTCCTTGCTTAGTGATTATTTTAGTACTGCAGGTACATCTAGAGCTTAAAGCTCTAGATATACCTGCAGTACTAGAGCTCTGACCATGGATCAGAGTATCAAAACAGCTGGTGAGAGTGTGTGAGGATAGCTGCTGTAGTTAATACTGTGTACGGGCTGCTGGGTGTAGATATCCTCATATGCAGTCATTCTTCCCACTTTCCCATAGTTTATTTCTTCTTTATTTGTCATTATTTTAAATAATGACTAATTTAATGACGAATTTAAATACAGTGGTACAGTACCTCGGTTTACGAATGCCCCTCTACGAATTTTTCGGGTTACATATTTTCTTCGGAAAATTTGAATCTGGTTACGAACTTAACCTTGGGATATGAGTTTGTTGATACGCATATGGACAACCTAGCGCATGGTGGCACGGCGATCATGCCTTGGTTTATCAGTGCCTCCTGCCAAGTGACAATCCCGCCTGAATTCTTTGCAAGGATTTACAGTTTATTTTTTTTATTTTTGGCTATTTGAGCTATATATCTTGCCATGGGTCCCAAGAAAGCAAGTGGTAAAGATCAAGGCTAGAAAACATATGTAAGAATAACCATAGAGGAAAAACAAGAGATCACTCGTAAACATGAAAATGATACATGTGTTGTTGAACTAGCTAGGCAAAACAATAAATCTTAAGGGGAGGAGGAGGAGGCAGTAGAGGATGTCCCTTCCTCATTAAAAAAATGTGTGCAGTATGGGATGAACTGCAACGTTTTGCTGAAAAGAATCACCCAGATAAAGCTGTAGCAGGCTGTTGCATTGATCTTATTAATGACAGTGTGATGTCTCACTACAGACAAGGGTTACAAAGAAGGGAAAAACAATCTTCAATGGAATGTTTTCTAGTGAGAAAATCAAGCAGTGAGCCAGAAGCAGATCCTAGTGGTATGCAGGCAAAACATGCCATAGTGTGCACGCCAGAGAAGTTTTCACTGCCCGATGTTATGACGGAAGGAGACTCCCCTTCCTAACAGTAACACCTCTCCTCCTCCCCCCTCACCCCTCTTCCATACGCCAACAGGAGTCATGAGTAAAGGCAAGTAATAACTTGTACATACTTTTGTAGTGAAGATTTGGGTGAATTAGGTATAAAATTTACTTTGAAGTTAATTTTTTCGGGAGTCAGGAACAGATTAATTCATTTCCCATTATTTCTCATTGGGAAATTTGCCTTGGTTTGCGAATTTTCGGGTTACGAACCGTCTCCAGGAATGGATTAAATTCGTAAACTGAGGTACCCCTGTAATGACGAATTTAAATAATTAATATAATTACTTTAAATATTTTAGACCAAAACGTGCATTGTTTTGGTCTAAATATTTACAGTGTGGTTAAGTACAACACTTTCATACCCCATGGACGACTGTGACATCCACAATTAACTCTGGATGTGCGAAACGGACGGCCGTGACGTCCAAAATTAAAATATTTTTTAGTACTCTATTTGTTTTCCGATCATTATGGGACTAGTTTTAAAATATGCGCCTTTAGATTGTGAACCATTTGAGATCAGAATAAACGGCGTAGCATGAAAATTGAGGCGAGAAAACTGAACAGAGTGTACATATTATATTGTAGGAGGGCAGATTGGCGCTCGCTCCTGGGTAACGATCTGGGTAACGCTCGGCGGACTTTTTAAATTCGCTGTGGGTAGCGTGCCTGTTTGTTTATCTTTTATACATATGTTCCTTCAGAAAATTCTATTGCAAACAAAATGATACCAAAATGAACGATGTAACATGAAAATTGATGGGTAACTCTAACGGATAACGCTCGGCCGATTTTTGGGTTTGCTGCGGGTGGCACGCCGGGCTTTTTGACCTTATACGCATATATCCCCTTAGAGAATTCTATTGCAAACAATTTGATACCAAAATGAACGATGTAACACGAAAATTGACATGAGAAAACTGAAAGAGTACAAACAATTTAGTGGTTGTGCACTCATGAGTAACGTTCAGTTGATTTTCGGGTTTGTTGTGGGTGGCACACTGGGCTTTTTGACCTTTTATGCCTATATCCCTTTAGAGAAGTCTATTGCGAACATTTTGATACCAAAATGAATGATGTAACACGAAAACTGACGAGAGAAAACACATTTTAGTGCGGGTGTTGTGGGTGTGTGGATGGGTGCTCGCTCACGGGAAATGCTTGGTCGATTTTCGGGATTTCTGTGGGTGACACGCCAGCCGTTTTGACTTTATATCCATATAAGTCTGTAGGGAATTCTATTGCGAACACCATGATATCAAAATGAATGACGTAAAATGAAAACTGAGGTGAGAAAACTGAAGAGAGTATACACATTTGAATGCTCTTGCGCGCTCACGGGTAACGCTTGGCCGATTTTTGGGTTTGCTGCAGGTCGTATGCCGGGCTTTTGGACTTTATATGCATATAACCCCGTAAAAAATTCTATTGCGAACACATTGATACAAAAATGAACGACGTTACATGAAAAATTTAGGTGAGAAAACTGAAAAAGAGTACACACTTTCACTTAACTTTGGAAATACCGGAGCTACGGAAATAACGACCAGGGTACAGCCCCATATAGGCCGTTAAATCGAGTGGATACTGTACTCTCATGCACAAGAGTTTCATAGGCCATTGCTCCCTGCACCTCTCTGAGGGGGACCATGTTCTGGCTAATAGTCCCTGGTAGACATGACAACTCCATATAATTGAAGCCCCATACTAATATTACCTAAAACCAGTGCAATAGCTCCAGGGAGCCGAAGGGGCTCCCCCACAGAAACCTAGACAGTAGTACTTGCTTTAAACAATCCATTGGTTCCATGTCTATTTTGTTACATGGTAATTTGTTCAATAGATCAACAACTATTTCCAAATCAGTATTTACCCAATTCTTTCCTAAATCTAATAATATGATATTCCCTTACTAAGGATATTTAATCAATCAAATTAATTACCAATTGCTCATGCTCTTCATTGTTGGATCTGAGTACTTGGTAAATGATGAAAGTAGTAGTGTCCCTGATCTTCTTGTGTCCCTGAGGGTGATGCAGGTACAGTTGAAAAAGCTCTTCCAAACTTCCCTCGACATCGCCTTCATAGCACATGGCACTGGGGAGAGTCTTGGTTTATCACAGTGTGTCCTTGAAGACTTGAAAATATGTGGCTGGGAGTTCACATAAAAAGGTAGGATGAACAAGAATGTAAATAAAGGAAAATTGTGTCCAAGATGAAGAAGTTGGAGGGTGAACTATGCTTAATGCAACAGCCAAAATGGAGGCTGTACAAGCTGAAATACACAAGGAAACCTTTTGAGTAACAGTGCAAGAATTAATACCAATCAAAGATCGTATGGGGTCCCGGTAATAGTCGGGTTCGTTCTCGACGCACAACTGAGAATTTTGGGCTTGAATCCCAGACTGGACAGAAATGACTGGACACATTTCCTTTCACCCAATGCACCTGTTGTTCACTTAGCAGTGAACAGGTATTCAAGAGTTAGTCAGCTTGTTGTGGGGTTGCATTCTGGGCAGGGTCAGTAATTCAGCTTTGATGGGGGTGATACCTCAATAAAAGCCAAATGTGTATGAATACACTCTGGCTTCCTGTCCCCGACACAGTGAATTATATTAACCATTTAAAATGTTCATGGCATTTGAAGGGAAGGGGAGGAAAAAAAAAAAAGAGTGAGTGAGTGAGTGAGTGAGTGAGTGAGTGAGAGAGAGAATTGCGTGCGTGTGTGTGATAACCTAAGTGTAGTTACAGGATGAGAGCTACGCTCATGGTGTCCCGTCTTCCCAGCACTCTTTGTCATATAATGGATTGAAATTAGTGACGGTTTTGGCCTCCACCACCTTCTCACCTAACTTGTTCCAACCGTCTACCACTCTGTTTACAAAAGTGAGTGAGTGAGTGAGTGAGTGAGTGAGTGAGTGAGTGTGAGAGTGAGTGTGAGAGTGAGTGTGAGAGTGAGTGTGAGAGTGAGTGTGAGAGTGAGTGTGAGTGTGAGAGTGAGTGTGAGAGTGAGTGTGAGAGTGAGTGTGAGAGTGAGTGTGAGAGTGAGTGTGAGAGTGAGTGTGAGTGTGAGAGTGAGTGTGAGAGTGAGTGTGAGAGTGAGAGTGAGTGAGAGTGAGTGAGAGTGAGTGAGTGTTTGTTTTTAACAACAGTTCTATGAAACAAGATACTTACACAAATATATATTTATAATAACTGCAACCTTAACCTTTGACCTAGAAAGTGTAATTAGTGCAGTGTTGTAGAAGGTAATAGAGTACAGTGTGGTGTAAGCTAGGTGGTACATTGCAACATTAACATTTACTGTACTGGTAAATGACAGTGAACATAATCATTTTAACCTGCACTCTTAGCTTAGCAACAACATTCTAAATGATGTAGAATAACAGTCTAGCATATTTTACAGATTTCAGACAAATTTTGTTTTAGTCAGAATGCCACCATGGATAAAATAAAGGATTTTTGTAATTACAGTACAGTACTATGTTTTTACTTACCTTGCAAGATAATACTTGAAGCCCAAGTGCAGGACATATTCTTCAGGATAACTCTTCCTAGTAAACTCCTGCAGCTTGTGAATGACACCCACTTGGCTGGATTTGCTGGCCCAAGCACATAATTTGTGTAGCACGGCAAAGGGTGGCTGAATATTCCGTCTGATACACAGTACAACAATTTTAGCATTTAAAAAAAAACAGCATTGAATGTAATGAAACGCTATTTTCTGGGCGAGTCCCTGGGGCTTCCCGGAGCTATCCAGGCTGAATGGGTATGTTTAACTTTCTGGCATCAGTCAATGCATGGAGTTCTTGCCTACCAGGGACCACGAACCAGAACCTGGCCCCCCCTCTAAGAGAGGCACAAGGAGCAATGGCCTATAGAGACCCCCCCCCTTCCCCCCTGTGGATGGGAGCATTCTATGTCTGCCATCAACCCAGGATAGGCACCCAGAAAGGTAGGTGCCCCAAAACAAACCCCTATTCTGGTAAAATTATTGCGACCTAAGACTAAACAAGTAGACAGAACTCTCCAAACGAAAATTAGCAAATGAGCACGACGTCATCATGTCGCCACGCTGCTGTCTGCGCAACCTCCCCGCCTCCCTGGGAGGGGAAAGGGGGAGCTTCAAACCCCCCGCTGGCAATCCAGCCTATAGTTCTTAGGCTGGACGTCAAAAAAACGTAAAAAACACTGTAGACTGGAGGGAGGGAGGGATGCTGGGGAGCCTCCGGGACTCACCCAGAAAATAGAGTTTAATTACATTCAACGCTGGTTTTCTGGGGGGGGGCCCCGACGGCTCCCCGGAGCTAACTACCCAAAGATAAGGAAGAAACAGGGACTTACCCGGGAGGCAGTCCTCACTCCTCAACGCGAAGTCGAGACAACTGGCCGCAACTGCCGACCCAATGTAATGCAGGACCTGCCAGGCCCAGGGACATTCACTGGGTAGCGAGCAAGCAGAACCCTGTTCAACCTCCAAAAACCCCGGGCCCGAATGTCAACCCAAGACATGTTACCAAAGACGGCAGCAAACTTACGAACGTCATGGGCCTGGGGATAGACCGCATAACAGGCTAGCTAGACTTAATAACCCTGCAGACGACCTGAGAAACCCACACCCGGGAACAGGGTAGAAGGGAAACCGGGTCAACCCAAAGCGCATCCCTGGCCACCGAGGCCGTGGCGTGCAAATTACGGTGGAGAGCCGCAATTGAACAAAACACATGATGCACCCCCGGCCTGACCAACCAAGCATCAACGACCCAAGGACCCCTTTGGAACGCAGTCGTGTCATTCTTGGCCAGAAAAGGAGGAGACGGCTGTAACCGAACAAACCTATCACCAGGACCGAAGGAGCAGAAACCCCTGCGCCGGAGGAGAGCATGAAGCTCCCTAACCTGACCCCCAGAGGTCAATGTCAACAGGAAAAAAAAGAGCCTTGGAGAAACAATCCCGAACCGAAGGGACCACAACAAATCGAGGAGAAGAGAGAAAAGAGAGCACCCAGTCCAAAGACTAGGATGGCTCAGGAGGAGCCTGAGCAGACCAGAGGTGAAACAACGCACGAGACAGCTTGCAGAACGAGGCAGAAGTGACATCAACGCCGAAAGCAAGCTGAAGCAGCACCGTATGATACGAGGCAACAGTATTCGGCATAAGATGACAGTCCTGGAACAACCAACCCTATCAGAGACCAAAGAGAACCTACGCAGAGATAGGAAAAAACGAAAGGACCGCCAGGAAACTTCATAGTGCCACCAAGACGAAGTCCGCAGGTGGGAGATCAACAACGAAGCCACCTGTGCACCTTACAAGTGATGATAAACCCGAGTCAAAAACTCCAGACGTGAAAACTTGAGAAGACTAAACCAGCCTCGTACCGAACTGGACTAATCTACTGAAAGAGGCAGAGCCACAAAAAGACCCTCGGGTTTGGACACCGAGCAAACAGCGCCTGAAACCAGGGCTGGGCCGGCCACCAAGGGGCCAGAAGGACAACTCTTCCCTGGTAAGTCTCCAAGGAAGCCAGGACCTGAAGCAACAGCTGAACCGGGGGGAAAAGGTACAGGTAACCCCACCTCGCCCAGTCCAGCCAAAAGGCATCGACCCGGATAGCCTCGCAGTCAGGGAAGGGCGCCACATATACCAGAAGATGCTTCAACCACGCCGACACAAAGAGATCCACTTCCGGAATTCCAAACATCTGGCACAGCCAACTGAAGGAGTCAGCGTCGACCGTCATTCCATGGAAAGGGGAAGGAAATGAGACAGGCCGTCCGCCAGGATGTTGGACACTCCCCGGACATGAACCGCCAGGAGAGCTAAACCCCGAGAATTCAGCAGACAAGTCATCCGAAGCGACCAGCCCCAAAGAGCCAAGGACCGCATTGAACCCCCTCAGTTCAGGCAATGAACCACCGGGAAACAGTCTGAATGGAGCCGGATCATCGATCCACAAGCGACTCAACCCTCTGGAGCCACATCCACACTGCCGCAAACTCCCTGACCGCGCCAGATTCAACCCAAAGGGAAGACAACGAAACGAAAGCGGTAGCCTTGACGCCTCACAACAAAACCGAGCCAGTCCTTGAACCTTGGATGAATTGGGACGTGCCAATACGCGTCTGAGATCCAGGGACACCATCCAAGCGCTCGGCTCCAACAGAAGACGGACCTGGGACAGAGTAGTCATCCAGAAGGAGTGGACAATAAACCCACGGGTTCAGATGGGAAAATTCCAGAATGAACAGGAGGTTGCGCAGTCCCGTGTCGGGACCAGGACACCCACCTGAGGGACGACGTCGTTTCGACCATGCCCAAGCGAACCCACTCCGAGATGACCTGACAGAGCGCAGGAGAAGAGGCCTGCCCCATCAGCCCCGAACCCCCCCCCCCCCCCCCCCCGAGGGAGGAGGGGCCACCCAACGCCACCACAGGTCGCATGAAACGACCCGAAAAGCCCACAACTTGTGAGACCAGGTGCGAGCAAAGAGAGCGAGCTTTCTCCCCCCCCCCCCCCCCATCGCCCCGTCAATGGAACGAACCGCAAAAAGGCCGACGCACCTTACGAGCACCTAAGCGGCGTATAGGGCGGTCCCCGCGCCGACCAGAAAAAGACGGAACCGAAGGCTGCGCCTGCCCCGAATCTGGCACCACTGGCCTACCACGAGGAACGGAACCCCGAGCCCTGGCACGACCCTTCCGGGAGGGACCCCCACAAGCCCCCTCCCCAGGAGCACTAACAAGTCAGACAGGTCTACAACTAACTGAAGCCGCCTGCAGGTACTGCACCATCACAGACTCCCTAAACAGCAAAGGACAAAAAGGCAAAGACAAGCGAAGAGAAACATAGAACTGCGAAACCGCATCACGCAGGAATGATGCAAAGAGCTTCAACAAAGCAGACGACGCCTACACCACAGAGGGCAGCGCACTAGACTCGGCAGTGGCCCCAAGCACTCCCACATCCAACTCAAGCCAATCCGAGAACAGCTCAGGGAGGCAAAAGAAATGCAGGGCCGAAGCAAGCAGGCCAAGAGTACGCAAATGCTCCGCAACCAAGGCTGACGAAAGGGAGGGAAGCTGCACGTGAAGTGGCACAACACCAACATCCCGCGGAATGGCAGGGGGGAACAAACAAGCATTGAGGTGCTCGAAGTCGCCCCCTCAGGAAAACCTAAAACGCCGTCTGAATCTCTCGCCAGTCAAGCACGTGGGACCGACAGAATGTGTGCCAAGCCTCAAACGAAAAGAGAGGACAGTCTGCCAACCAGGACGACTCCGGAACTTCATAACGAACCCAGTATGGACAAGATGAACCGTACATGAAAGAATGCGGATCCATCACGAAAGCATAATCCGGGTCGCGGAAAGCCAAAAACCTCCAGAATGAATAGGGGTTTGTTTTGGGGCGCCTACCTTTCCGGGTGCCTATCCAAGTCGATGGCAGACATAGAATGCTCCCAACCACAGGGGGTCAACACAGGCCATTGCTCCTCGTGCCTCTCTAGAGGAGGCCAAGTTCTGGCTCGTGGTCATCGGTAGGCATGAACTTCACGCATTGACTGATGCCAGAAAGCATCAGTCAATGCGTTAAGAAAGTTATACATATCCATTCAGCCTGGATATCTCCGGGAAGCCGACGGGGCTTCCCCCAGAAAACTAAATATTGTAATACAGTATAGTTATATAATTCTCAAAGTACCGTAATATATGATAATTTTTAAAGTAATCATTTAATTAAAAAAATGAATTTCCAAGCTCTTAATCTGATAAACAAATTGCAATCATATTTGGTCTTTTGAAATTTCTCTAATTTCAGACATTTCTAAATATATAATACATCTGTAAAGATGTAAAGACATTTTTGGCCCCATTTGGAGTAATTTACCCATTCTCTGATCCCTACTCTAGATGCTTTTTCTCCTTCAGTAACTTTGTGGGCTGTTAGCCATATTGCAAATTTGTGATATCACATACAGAGGTGGCCAGGAAAAATGAAATTGACAAAATTTGTACTTCAGCTCAATATTCAACCCACGACCACTGTTGTGAACCAACTTGGAAGCATTTTATTGTTAATTTAATTACACATTATTCTTACCTGACATAATAATTGACGTCTTCTAGTTCTTTTATTTGACGAGCAGAATTAACAAGATCACATAGCAGAGATAAGTGCTTGCAGGGAAGTGTTCTTGGTTGATGCGCTGGGTTAGTTGCTTCTTGTTTGTCTTCTGATCTTGTTAAGTTTTTGTTCAATGCTGAAAGATGTAAATCGGCTGTTGTATCTTCTATGTTTGATGGTATTATTACCGATTTGTTCATTTTGTCAAAAGGCTTGGTTTCTTTAGTTCTAAATAGGAAATTTGATTCTATTTGCATACTAATTTTCTCTATTTCTATTTTTTTCTGTAAAAAATTTGGCGACTTCATATATTTATTGCCAGAATTAGTACATTGATCACTCTCAATTATTTGTTCATTCGTGTATTTGTTAATGGTAGAAAGTGGATCATTAGTCAAGATTTTTTTATTTTTTATTATATGCTTATTTTGATATTTGTGGCACCCTCTTTTCCTCCTACCCTCAGTTTTCAAAAATGTATTTTGAACCTGGTATACAATATAATCTAAATTTCTTTCTTTCTTGAGTTGACTTGCTTCTTCATATTTAGAAACTGGCTTGCCATTGTGTACATTAGCAATGAATGAAATTGTTTCAGCAAAGTGCTTTGGGTATAATGTAAACCCACGGAGAGCTGCTGCACAGCAAGTGCAGCTTTGACCCCACCAGTGCACCAAGAGGTGTGTACTTGATAAAGTAATCTGCTGCATCCCTGAAAATGTACAAAATAAAGTAAGAATATTAATGATATTTAAATATCCTATGTAATTTATAAAAAAGTTATGCAATATAAAATAAAACTAACACGAATATTGTAAAATAAATCGTACATGTTCCATGGCTTAACGAGTTTTTATTTTTATTTTTTTGATAGCTGGAGAGTGGGGAGGCTGGCATTCATCACTCATTGCTGAGTTATCGAGTGGGGAAGCATCTAGCAAGTTCTCCTTTTGTGGTCAAATGATGTACTGGGTATTGGAGTACATATCAATTGAGGAAGTCCCCACCTTACAACAGGAATGCATTTCTAATTTCCAATTGCACGTCAATCGGTCAGAACTCGAGAAAACTTTTTCCCATAGGTGCAGTCCAAATTAATGGTTTTTGGATTCTTGGATAATTTGGGCATAGAAATTACTAGTGCCTTACTGCCCATTATCAACAAAGTTTTGATGCAAACCAGGGGTTCATGACACTTATTTACACCAAATAACACAAATATTTTATTGATTTTCAGCATTATACATTAGTGAATTTTTAATAAAATCTCATTACAGGTAAGTTTAGGCAAGTGTAGGTGTCATTGTAACGATATGTAATAAATAAAGCTGTTGGGTACAATTATGAGAGCATGTACAGAGTACCCTACTAGAAACTGTATGACTTAGGACTGCTGCCATCATCTGTCTTGACAGGAATGATGTCAGTCCACTGTCACCTGACAGACCCTACACCACGCTCCCATGCTCGTGGTCTATCCCTTGTGACTGGCCCTCTTTATATGTCACTTATGTAATGGGCACTTTCCCTATTGGACAATCTGGGCATATATTAGCAATGATATATGCCTAGATTGCAGTACCAACCCACAAATATCAATATTCGAGGTGTGTTGTATTAATATGCTTCAGTGGCATTTTTAACTGATTTCGAGATGCAATATCTGGCTCTGGCTGCCAGATGCCCATGCTTGGGTTTCCGTGGCACTGGTGTTTGGAGACTATTTACTATCCATGATGCATCTCTTTAGGTGAATATCAATTTGCAAATTTCCTATTTAGGGACTACATTCACCTGAATATAAAAATACAAGTTAAATATTGATAACACCTGATGTCTAATACCATTATAAATTTATTTTTTGTAGCTATTTTTTAAATTTGCATGTCTTTAATGCTTCAATGTTACTGGAGGTAATTTGAAAATTTGCTAAAATGTTTGGGTTCATGCAGATGCTATGAATTTTATCATATGCAAGTGGTTGGTCACTTGCAAGTGTCCGGATACAGGCAATCATATCCCAAGTGGCCGACGGCTGGTAACTTTACCTTAGGTTATCTTGAGGTTATCTTGAGATGATTTCGGGGCTTTTTAGTGTCCCCGCGGCCCGGTCCTCGACCAGGCCTCCACCCCCAGGAACCAGCCCATGACAGCTGACTAACACCCAGGTACCTATTTTACTGCTAGGTAACAGGGGCATAGGGTGAAAGAAACTCTGCCCAATGTTTCTCGCCAGCGCCTGGGATCGAACCCAGGATCACAAGTCCAGCGTGCTGTCTGCTCGGCCGACCAGCTCCCTACATACCTTACCCCAAAAAGGAATATTTTTTACCCTACTTTAGTACACAGTACTTTACACTTTCACAACTCAATAGGCAACTCATCACATGAAAATTACTCGCCTATTTAGCGTGTTTCTCTACTCACATTTTGGTTTATTTCATTTGGCTATTTATCTAATTCTGCCTATTTCCTTACATACCCATTTGGTCCAACTGACTACATGCTTGTTTGGTCCACTTAATTCACTTCTCACCTATTTGGTGTGCTTTACAACTAGCACATGTACTGTGTTCCACTACTCTCTTACTTTGCTCATTCAGCTTTCACTATTTTTATTGATACCTGGTTGATGGGGTTCTGGGAGTTCTTCTACTCCTCAAGTCCGGCCCGAGGTCAGACTTGACTTGTGAGAGTTTGATTCACCATGCTGTTGCTTGGAGCGGCCCGCAGGCCCACATACCCACCACAGCCCGGTTGGTCCGGCACTCCTTGAAGGAAACACTCTAGTTTCCTCTTGAAGATGTCCACGGTTGTTCCTGTAATATTTATGATGCTCACTGGTAGGATGTTGAACAACTATGGACCTCTGATATTCATACAGTGTTCTCTGATTGTGCCCATGGCACCTCTGCTCTTCACTGGTTCTATTCTGCATTTTCTTCCATGTCATTACTCCAGTACGTTGTTATTTCACTGTGCAGATTTGGGACCTGTCCCTCCAGTATTTTCAATGTGTATATTGGACCTGTCCCTCCAGTATTTTCAATGTGTATATTATTTGGTATCTCTCTCATCTCCTTTCTAGTGAGTACATTTGGAGAGCTTTGAGACGATCCCAATACTGTACTTTAGGTGCTTTATCTCGTCTATGCGTGCCGTATATGCTCTCTGTATTCCCTCAATTTCAGCAATCTCTCCTGCTTTGAAGGGGGAAGTGAGTACTGAGCAGTACTCAAGACGGGACAACACAAGTGATTTGAAGAGTACAACCATTGTGATGGGTTGATATTACTCATTGGTTTTTGTCTATTTTACTACTTGGTCATTTAGTTTCCTTTATTTAATCACCCATTTAGTCAATTTCACTGAATTTTACGGCTATATTATCAGTCTTAACACAGATCGATTTGTTACTAGATTGTAACATTAAGGCCTGTACAACATTTGGTATTAATTATCCTTAACTTTTATGTATGTCTACATTTCTCAAAATTCATCATACAATATAATATGTGTCTCCGTTAGATTTGGCTAGGCATACACTAGGCTGTGTTAGGTAATAAAATTAATATTTAAATTACAAAGTAGCAAGGCCTATCAGATCAAAGTGGCCCATTTTTTAATTCTCTCCTATTATATTATTATATATACATAACTAACTGAACAAGCCGTTCAGGCTTGTTCGCATACATATATAATATACTGTATATATATATATATTATATTATATATATATTACTATATAGCCACTCTTATAGACCCATATTGTTAGGTTGGGTTATTTTCTGTTTGGTGCGAGTGTGAATAGTTCCAATATGACCCGAAAGAGCCAAGTAACCTGTATCCTTCACTAACCTGTGTGAACTGTTGGGAATATTGGTGTAGTTGTTTTCACTGAAGCTGTGGCTTCAGGAGGCGTCCAGAGCAGCTTGTCTCAAGCCTCTGAGACCTTCCATGTAACCGCTGTACCTTACAGGTACTACATCTGAAATCAATCGTGTACGAAAGAGATGTTAGTGAACAGGTGTAGAGTAGTGAGCACCTGCTCCTGCGTCGGCCCCAGCCTGGTCTACACCCCCTCCTTCAGGTCTCCCTTCTCCGGGAAGATAATGACGAAGACGACGACAACCACTACGTCAGGGACCATCACGCGTGCTCCTTCCAATGGGCTCCTCCTGGTCAACTGGAGCTGGGTGACAAGCAGCCTTGCGGGCTGAGGGCACCATGGGCACCGTGGGCTGTGCCCCTCACACAGTGCCAGCCTGGCAGCGCTGGTCCTACTGCCAGGTCTCTTGGGCATTACAATCCTTAACAGAACAAAACAAATACATACGTGCAGTTTAGATGCAAGTCCTTACTCGACGGTGACTTTTTGTAAGCATATAATACGGTTAGCATATTAAGTTATTTCGTGCTTATTTCGCAAATAGCAATTATTACAGGCATCCACCGCACTTTATTTTATGTATTTTTTTTCTTATTACGAAACTGGATGCAGACAGGTTTATCCCAATTGCATGAGTATAATTACTTTTTCTTCTTGATAGTAGGTGCAGTGTGCATGAAGGGTTTGTCCTCCCGATGACTGCACCAGTACAGGTGTTGGGAGAGGCGTTAATGTTGAGATGATCGGAGTTCCAAAGGTGCTTGTTGCGTTGTGCTGTAGATAGAGGAGTGACGACTACAACAGAGGTGTATGTTAGCGGGAGACTTGCCGCACCGTAGGGCGGTGTGTTGTGTTTATGGCGTCAGCTGATCCATGGTGGTGCGGCGAGGCGGTTGTTTTCCGTGTTCAGCTGTTGGTGGCGCCAGGTATAAATGTGGCGCGGGTCAGATGTGACCCAATTTGTTGGTCGACTGGAGATATTTAGCCAGTGCTTTGACTATTTGGTATTTTTCTTGTAACGAGTGATCACCACCTCCTAATATGTGCTCGATGGTAAAGGGTATTTTTAGTGAGATAAGTTTAGTTTAGTTCATTTATTATGCACCCCATACCCATCTTGTGGGCGGTAGTGGAAAGGGTTACAGAGGCACATAATGGGCTCAGGGACTGAACCCCACAATTCATTTAGTTAGTGAGATAAATACTTGTTATTTATTTATTTATTTATTTATTTATTTATTTATTTATATACAAGAAGGTACATTGGGTTTGTGAGAATACATAGCATAGTATTTACAATCTTGTAAAGCCACTAGTACGCGCAGCGTTTCGGGCAGGCTTAAATTACTTGTTTATAATTTACTCTGGCACTATGATGTCGGAAGCAGTGAAGGAGATACTGTTAGATTGGTTCAGGCACCTGACAGTGGATGCAGAGTTCGTTGATGTCTGTTCTGTACTTAGAGCTGTGTGCTGCCAGTTTGGTGTGTCCCAGCCTTAATCTGATCATCGTTCAATTTCTCTGCTTTTATATCCGACGTGTTTCCAAGTTTCCCATTTCTTTTTAATGGACCCATAGTTATCTTGAGATGATTTCGGGGCTTTAGTGTTCCCGCGGCCCGGTCCTCGACCAGGCCTCCACCCCCAGGAAGCAGCCCGTGACAGCTGACTAACACCCAGGTACCTATTTTACTGCTAGGTAACAGGGGCATAGGGTGAAAGAAACTCTGCCCATTGTTTCTCGCCGGCGCCCGGGATCGAACCCGGGACCACAGGATCACAAGTCCAGTGTGCTGTCTGCTCGGCCGACCGGCTAGTGCATGACGTTTTCCATTTCGTCGCAAAATTTTGAGTGATGGCATTTTTGAAGGCTCCTTTACGTGCACCATGGGGAATTGGATGACGGGTAATGTGAGACGTGTTGTGCATTGCTTTGGCTAGTTGATCTATTAGTTCATTATGGAGAATACCACAATGGCTGGGACCCATTGGATAGAGGTATCATAACCGTTCAATCGATGTTCATGAAGAAGTTGAAGACATGGATAAACAAACTCCTTGCACGTTGTTGAAGAGTACATAATTGCTTGAATCACACTCATGGAGTCACTGCAGATTGTATATGTCCCGACTGGAGGACAGACCAGAGGCAGACGAGCAGGGTCCGGAGGAGGAGCAGGAGACAACCAAGGGTCCAGGACAGCAGGAGGAGGGGCAGAAACCGGGGAGCGCACCTCAGCAAGGGCAGCAACTGAGAGGGAAGCGGGGGCCAAAGAAACCTCCATAACAGGAACAGGGAGCTCGACCACCGAAATGGGAGGGGATGGAGCGATAGTCAGAGGTGGGGGACGAGAAAGAAAGCAAAGCCTTCTTACCCGCCGGGGAAGAGGAAGGAGATGAGCCAAGTTTTCGCTTCTGACTCAAAGAGACAGGTGTTCCAGCAATAACGTACTGGGCAACAGACTCAAGCGTCTCAACAGAAGGAGAAGAACGAGAGCGAACAACACGATGATCGATGGGAGAATGGACATCAGCCCGCACAGACAGGCGGCGTAGATAGCTAAGAGACGAAGAAGGATGGGAAGGAGGATCGGAGGGAGATGAGAAAGAAGACACAGGAGACATGACAGACTGTGTAGAAAGAAGGGGAACCCCCAGACAGAGAACCAGGAGGGGAACCCTTCGGGACAAAACGTAAAGAAACAAGGGGAGGAGGCGGTGGGTGTGTCTGGGTCTAAGGCCTGGAAACGGTTGTGAGATTGAGGAAGGACAAGGAGAGGAAGAGCCCAACACGCAAGTATAAGAGACATAAGAGACGCCAGCATAAAGGGAAAGACGGCGAACTTGGCACCTCGCCTCAGGAAAAGACAAACGTTCCCGGTTCTTCAAGTTGAGGACGGCTGCCTCAAGCTTGTAATGTATGCACGCACGGAAGAAGGTAGGGTGGGCCTCAGCAGAATTAAGGCAGCGAGCCTGGGAAGAAGTGCACTCTGACTTAGTGACCTTTGTCCCCACACAAGGGACGTGGGTCACGTGCTTTGTCGCGTGGAACACCTAAATTATTGGGATTGTCTCAAAGCCCTCCAAATGTACTCACTAGAAAGAAGACGAGAGATATCAAATAATATACACCTAGAAGATACTGGAGGGCCAAGTACCAAATCTACACAGTAAAATAACAACGTACTGGAGTGAATGATATGGAAGAAAATGCAGAATAGAACCAGTGAAGAGCAGGGGTGCCATAGGCACAATCAGAGAACACTGTATAAACATCAGAGGTCCACGGTTGTTCAACACCCTCCCAGCAAGCATCAGAAATATTGCCGGAACAACCGTGGACATCTTCAAGAGGAAACTAGATTTATTCCTCCAAGGAGTGCCGGACCAACCGGGCTGTGGTGGGTATGTGGGCCTGCGGGCCGCTCCAAGCAACAGCCTATTGGACCAAACTCTCACAAGTCAAGCCTGGCCTCGGGCCGGGCTTGGGGAGTAGAAGAACTCCCAGAACCCCAGCAACCAGGTATCAACCAGGACAGAGAGTGAGTACTGGAGCATCGGAGGGCACCATGCCCAAACTTCCAGCACTTATTACAGAGCCGAAGAGAGGGAATGTACTCCTGAACGGAGCTTCTGGTACCAGCAAGAATGACAGAGGGCGGAAGGGTCCTACCATCAAAGGTAATTTTTACAATCCGAAGGGGCTGACGGCGACGACCATGAGGGGAACGAGTAAACGTGTCCACATGGAGGACAGAATGGCCCTGGGCTTCAAGGATATGCTTGACATCTTCGTGGCAGTCCTTTAGATTCCTAACACTGGTCGCAACATGGTGAGGGAGGAGAACAATGCCAACACTGGCATTTAACCGAGCGTTCTTGGAGAACGCCAATGTAGAATAAGGCGGCCAAGCGGATAGCTGCATCCTGCGAAGGAGCAGCAACAACACGTGAACCGAGACGGGTGGGGTTGAAAGTAACAAAGGCATACACGGAATCAACAAGGTGCCTATGGAGGGAAAAATCATCAGGAGTAGAATCTAAATGATGGAGGTAAAAGACCCAGTACTTAGTCAACGTAGCAGGACCAAACAAGGCGTGGTATGAAATAGTATGGGAAGGGATCGTGTGAGTGTAGCGGAGACAGCGTTGAGAACCCCCCAGAGAAAGGGGAGTTAAAAGGCGCAGTAGAGACTTCACAGTCTCCGTGGTGTAGTCGTAAGATACTCGCCTGGCGTTCCGCGAGCGCTATGTCATGGGTTCGTATCCTGGCCGGGGAGGATTTACTGGGCGCAATTCCTTAACTGTAGCCTCTGTTTAACGCAACAGTAAAATGTGTACTTGGATGAAAAAACGATTCTTCGCGGCAGGGAATCGTATTCCAGGGACCATAGGATTAAGGACTTGCCCGAAACGCTACGCGTACTAGTGGCTGTACAAGAATGTAACAACTCTTGTATATATCATCATCAAAAAAAAAAAAAAAAAAAAAAAAAAAAAAGTTACAATGAGAGACGGAGCCGGGCCAGGGGACGAGGTGGTCACCGCTGGGGGCTTAGGGCTCAACGCAACCACAGAGGAGGGAGGGGGAGCTGAGGGGAGTAGTCAGGAGAGTCAGAGGAGGAGCTAGATCTGGGCCCAATGTAGCAGGGGCTACAGAGTTCGGTCTTCCAACACAGTCCGACTTGGGGGCCTGGTCGCCCACCCCACGAGCCCAAGAAGTCATAAGAGGAACAGGAGTCATCGGCATGAAAACGAGAGGGAAGACTCATTCACGAATCTGCCCCCACACCCACCATGGAGCTACAATTAGAGGATAGGACACCCAACAAGAGACATGTTGCCGGTCTTGCTGGAGCCTCCCAGGGGTGCATCGTGAGTATACTCCCCACAAATGCCACCTTAAGAACCGTCAGTTTGTCGAGATCAGGTTCAGTGACGAAAGTAGGATTGACAATAAAAGCGTCCCCTCACTAGAGACGTTGGGTACCACAATTCTATGGGTGAGAGTATGCCTCCTCAAACACGAGGGCATCAAAACAGAAGTAGTCCAAAGGAATAATCAAGACTGGCAAAAGGTCGGCGGGAAATGACAATTAGAAAGAAGAGGGGGGGGGGGGGGGGAGAAAAATGAAACACAAGGAAAAGAAAAAAAAAAGAGATCCGGCACAATTGGAGAAGACAGCAGCAGGAGCACAAGGCCCCAAAAGGACAGTGGATTGACCCATGGAACATCACACTCTGGTAGCCGCCCACCATGACCCCCTCACGACGACAACGGGCCAGATAGGGAGAGGTTTTTTATAAAGAAGTTTATGGGTGAGAAGTTATTTCCTATGATCAAAATTTTATTCTACCTTTTATGATTAGTTTAGCACAATTCCAATCAGTTAAGCAACTTTGTATTTTAATAGGCCTTGGTGTATGGTAACACACTTCAATCTAATGTATATATTTTGCCAAATATTTCAATTTGTGTACATAAAACAAAGTATATCTAGCATATAATCAGTTATCAATATTGATATTTATTGTATGTGTGTGTATAATATTAATATATATATATATATATATATATATATATATATATATATATATATATATATATATATATATATATATATATATATATATATATATATATATATATATATATATATATATATATATATATATATATATATATATATGTATGGGTGTTACGATAATCTCCTTCAAGAGAGATTTGGCCTGCTCTTTCCTATCGTCATGTTATTTCAGTACATCTACAACATCTAGATACTACAAGCAAGTGTAGTACGTATTGAGTAAAATACGTTTCTGCCAAGCGCATACGTATCAGACACTCGCTCTCCACCTTCTTTGATCACCAAACCACCACTTCCAGCCAGCACGCTTCTGATTGGTGAATCGACGTCTGCACCTCTGCACTTCAGCGCCATCTACATAGCCGATGACTGAGCAAGCACAAGCCATTGGATTTAGAATATCCTGTGCTCTCAAAACTGATATACGCTCTGTTTATTAGTGGAT